CGCGTTATACCATCCGAAAGACGCCCCCGACTTATCATTTCATCCCTAATCCTGGAATCTTTTGCGGAACCAACGCCCCCCTACAAACAATTCCATTGAAATGGTAGTGCAAGATTTGAAAAAGACACCTTTCTTTAGTATAGGCACTGATTCGAGTAATCATGGTAATTTGAAAATGTTCCCATTGATAGTCCAATATTTTTATCCTGCTGAAGAAGGGATAGTTGTCAAATTGTTAAATATCAAAGAAAAGTTTGATGAAAAACCTCAAACTATTGCTAACATAATAAAAAGGGAATTGGATAAACATGTTTTGACTGAGAAACAAAGAAGAAGAAAACGTATTGACTTATTTAAGGCGTGAAATCAACCAAAATATCATTGGCATTGGGTGTTCAGGCCATGTCATGAACAATTCAGCTCACCATGGTATAGATCGGTTCGGTTCTTTCGACATTGAATGTATTGTAATGAAAATTTTCAATCACTTCTCGATTTACACTGTTCGGACAAATCAATTGAAGGATTTTTGCGATTTCGTTGATGTGGAGTACAGGAAACTGCTATCTCACAGCAAAACACGATGGCTAACCCTCAAGCCAAGCGTTGATCGAATTTTACAAATTTTTCCAGCTCTGAAATCATTTTTTTTATCCACTGATCCGCCAATTATTTTAGAGAGTTTTTTCAAAGATAATTTTGCGGAATTGCAATTGCTGTTTATAAGTTCACTTATGAATGTCTTTCACAATAGAATCAAAAGAATCGAACGCGAAGACAATTCTGTTCTAGAAGTTTTGTAAATCATTGACGAAGTATGGGAGACTTTGACTGAAAGACTCAATTCGAAATTTATACCATTCACAGTCAAGCAGAAAATGCAAAAGCTAACAAATGCAGGTAAAGAAACTAAGTGTCAAAACTTTACAGAATCCATGCTTGTAGTGTATGAAAGATCTTGTGATTGCTGAAATGGAGCCAGTCATTGCGTTATTTGGAAGACTTCAAATGGTTAAATTTCAAGCCAGGAAAAGATTTGAGGTATGAATCTGTTGAAAAATCTGTTGCATTTCTCGCATCCAAAAATATTCTAATGGATGATTCAAAATTGTTCGACCAGTTTGTTAATTTAAAAAAATTTTTGGAAACGAGAAAACGGTGGTGTCCGTATTTTCCACTTCAGCTAATCTGATCACCCTATGTCCATCCACTCTATGGACGATTTTGTGGAAGGATCTTGGTTTGCAATGCAACTTTGCAAACTTTGCATGCTTACAAAATCCAACTCGTGCAAGAATTGAAATAAACGATCATCAAGCATAGCGTAGATTCGTCGAATAAGCCCAAAACGAGATTGCTATTGTTCCCGATTAAGTAAGTTTTGTGTGCGATGGAGCGCACTTCAGGTTGAATGGCTACGTCAACAAACCAAACTGCCGCATTTTAAGTGAAGCTAACCCTCAAGTGTATGTCATTGGTCCGGAATCATTGGTCCGTACTTCTTTAAAAATGATAATGGCCAGAACGCAACAGTCAATGGTAATCGGTACAGAGCCATTGTCGGGTCAGGCAGCAAGCAACTGTTAGGTTTAGATAATTAATTAATAACGTAAGCATTGTTGGTCGCAAGCCGACTTCCTTTCGGCCGCTCAGCTTCAACTAATTCATCATCTCAAACTAGCGAGCATCCGTCCAGGTTGGCGCCCCTCGTTCATTATCTTTTTGCGGTCGCACCCTAAATTGGCTTCCCTTTGTAAAATCCCAATTTAATATGCGGCCAAATAAAGATTTTTATAACGTTTAAAATGAAATACAATTTGCCTTTTTATTTAACGGCATTGAAAACTATCAATGACCAAACATTGGTGACCCCCGACGTGATAGTTAATATATTTAACAAATTACTAAAACATACAAAAAAAAAAACAACAAAATTTAGAAATATAGAAAATATAAATAAGAAAATAAAATAAAATAAGAAATTTAGAAATAAGAAAACATTTTGTTTATAATAACAAACAAATTGCCGGGGAATGGTTGTCGTTTTCTCTGTCATTTTGTATTTCACAACGCGCAGCGATTCGCAATGATCTTCTTTCACGTCCGTTCACTTCTGAGGGCTGTTCTTGATTGCCCTTCCTCTCCTCTTCCTCCTTTCTATCATTGCGCCATACTCAGCAGGGCTTTACTCTCCTTCCCCACCGCGCTCTTATTCAAAGCTTATCTCTCTTCATTCTTTCTTCAGTTGCAATGCCCATTTATTTCTTCTTAGACTATACACTTAACTTATAATTAATCAGTAAATACAGTATTTGAAATTAAATCTAACTTATCTCCGACATATATAATTAATTATACATAGACATAAACATAAACTGCAGTTCGCAAGTGCATATACATACATAATTACGTTCCACAACACAAGTGCATTCGCTCACACATAACTTCATATATATATACGTTCCACAATTCCGCTACGGTTCTGAGCGTGGGACAGATCGCCGCGAGCAACTTCATTTTGAGCGATAACATTTTTGCGGCGAAATTATTTACTTCGGGTTGGTTCCGATTATTAAGTTATATATATTAAGTTCCGACTTAATATAATCCAGCCCATAGTGCCATTTTAAAGTGCAAGGCGCTGGATATTCTCGATTCGTACAGAGGATCCAAGAAACTCTTCAGCCTGTTTCCAAAGTAGATGTTGCCATGCTCCACGTGCGACATGGCCAGATAGTCGCCATGTTCAGCGACTTCAAGAACATCCACGGGGAGCTTGAGGATTTGGACATTTCGCAGACCAGTAAAGACCTCCGATGGACTGTTTCGGAGCTCGTAGCGACGATGCAGGCCGAAATTGAGCACGAGACGACTCTCCGCTCTTCTCGAATTGCTGCCCACTCCATCCTTGCCAACGGAATGACCACCATGCAGGCTGACCCAGGGTTAGTCAATGTTTTCAAGAGTTGCCTCCTCTGCCTCTCCCTACCTTCAGCGGTGGATACTTGGAATGGACTGAATTTTACTCGATCTTCACTACAATCGTCGGCAGCAATCCTCGTATTAATAAGGTGGAAGAGCTGCAAAGGCTGCGATCTTGCCTTCAGTTCAATCCTTAGAAGTATCCGACGAGAATTATGATGTCGCACTAAATGTATTGGAGAAACGATTTAATAACCGTCGCTTAATATTTCAGATTCTCGGCCTCAATCTGTTGGAAAGTGGCTCAATAGCAGCTCTTCAAGGTATTTTAGACAAATTCAATGCCCATATGCGAGCCTTAAAAAATTTTGGTTCGTCAAATCAGATCGCCAGCTGCATCATCGTCCAGGTTCTGCTTCATAGTTTGGACCCAGCTACCCAGGCTAAGTGGGAGGAGAGTCAAAACTCCTCAGGTCAGACGCCATCCCTACTTTGGAGTCGATGGTGTCGGGTATTGGCGATACCGGCTTTGCCGACAGCCGGATGTTTTTTCTCTGTTGATGTTTTTCTGCGGTCCCACTGATCCAAATACTCGGCCCTTGTTAATGCCGCACTATGAAGAGTTTGACCAGTTTTTGTGACAAAGATTAATAACTAAAAATCGGAGCAAGACATTTGACTTCTGTTTTTTGCATGGGGTTATATTGACCAATATCTTTTACCATAGAAAAAAAAGGCCGTGGCACCGCCCCTTTTTTTTTCGCTTATGTAAATTTCTTCAGATTTTTAGAGTTCAGTGACAGTATTTGGTTTTGATTGATAGAAAATAGTGGGCGTGGCATGCCTTTAACAATGTATTACCATTTAATACAGTTTTAAGAATAAAGTCCATTTAAAGCATCGTGTGCCCCTGTAATGAAAGACAATTAATAACGTATAGAAGAAAAATATTTTCCCTACACACCTTTTAAAAAAAGTCCAGCTCTTCGTTCTCCAACTTAATATTATATTGATGGTCAAAATGCACAATATTAAAAGAGCTTTTATCCTCACCCGCCGTGGTGTCATCGGGATTTGATGAGCCCTCTAATAGGGCCAAAACCTCTAATGGAAGACACATTTTTTTCTGTCGCTTCCCTGCAGAACTGGAGGTGTCGATTGGCCATGGGTAAGTGCTTACCTCGTCGATCACTACATGGGTACTTACTAAAGTGACCCTATAGTAAACGACGATCGAACCACCTAGTCGACTCGAGTTTGCGATTGACCCTAGGTAAGTGCTTACCTCGTCGATCACTACATGGGTACTTACTAAAGTGACCCTATAGTAAACGAACGTCGAACTACCTAGTCGATTCGATTTAGCGATTAGCCCTGGGTAAGTGCTTACCTCGTCGATAACTACATGGGTACTTACTAGATTAACCCTATAGTAATCGAACGTCGAACCACCCAGTTAATAAATATATGCGCATTAGCGCATAAGTACAAAATAACGGCAAGCATCGCTTTTGCTTTTGTTTTTTTGTGGAAAGAGCATACACAAGATTAAAGACAAAACTTCGATTATGCTTTACAACGCTGTTTGTTTACGCGTCTTCGGTGCACTGCTTACAAAAACAATTTTCCAGAAAGAACAGTTTGTTTTATTTTGTTCTACTCTTTCGCTTAAACGCAGCTGTGTTTGCTGGCTGACGAAATTTTTGCAAGCATTTGAGTTAAGAAGTGCAAAGCGGATCAATCGATTATTAGGTGAGTGACTTAAAAAATAATATATGTTTGTAATATAAAATATGTGTGGCGGAACGGATTAGGCTATTGATAGTCAGGATTTATGAAGTCAGTATTATTTTGAAGTATTTAGTTAGGTTATTTGGTCGCACTAAAATCGGGTAAGAAGGAACACAATATTTGGCGGATAAACACATCGATTTGCGCCATCACAGAAAGGGGAAGAGAAACTGCGAATAAAACGCTCGTTACACATCACTTCAACAACTGTCCTATTTGCGAGTGTTATAAGGCATTCCCGTGATCGGCCAAGCGGTGACAAATTCTTTTATTCGCAACTCTGCAAGATGATGCCCACGAAGCACTCACCCAGGCGGAGCCCCAGGCTGGAAGCCTCGGGCGTTCCCGCAACTGCGACCACCACGGCCACAGCAACTGGCACCGCGACCAGCTCTGCGAGTGTGGCTGGTGATCGCCAGAGGCCACAGACTCCGAAGGAAAGTGGAACAGCCGCCAGGAAAGCGGCAAGTAACCTGCAGCCCGAAGCGACGGGGCAGATCACGGATCCCACAACTGTAGTGGCGGCCTTAATGGAAAGGATCGCACGTCTGGAGTCGGAGCTGGTGAAGGCAAGAGCAAGTGGAGGACAAGCAGAGGCCGCCAGAGATCCCGTTGGAATCGGGGCACGCGGCGTTGGAGTGAGCGGTGCAGCGAATACATCGCCATGTTCGAGTGGAACGCTGCCACATCATGGAGCAGCGCCACGGCAGAGTTTGAGCGAAAACCTGCCCAGGCAGATGAGGGACAATCTGCAAACGGATCTCGGAGTGACGCCATCGCTGCAGTTGCCGGGACAAGTGAGTACAAATTTGCCGCCACAATGGAGTGCGAATTTGGCGCCGACGCTTGGCGGCCATTGGGCAAACGGACAACCTGTGTCAACAACAACAATACTGCGCTACTCTCCGCCATCTTGTGTGACCGCCGCAGCACAGCCGGTGCTAGGTTATGTTGACCCAGAGGTACCTGCGCCATCGCCCATATCATATGGAGCGCCGACGACAAACATACAAGGATGGACGCCACGCAGACTACCTGATCTTCCCGATTTCGAGGGTCAGCCAGAGGAATGGCCAATATTCCTGTGTGCGTTTACGGAGACAACTGCAGCCTACCAGTGCACCGAGTTGGAAAACAACCAGAGGCTAGTGAAAGCCCTGAAGGGAGAGGCTCGCGAAACCGTGAAGTCGTTGCTCATCCATCCCAGCAACGTACAAGCTGTTATGGAGCAGCTACGATTCCGGTATGGACGCCCGGAGCAACTGATCCGCAGCCAATTGGAGAGAGTGCGCGAAGTGCAGCCGATTCAGGAGGCCAACATTGCGAGGATCGTGCCGTTCGCGACGAAGGTTAGCAACCTGTCAGCGTTCCTGCAGTCGACCGCGACCGGCAGCCAGCACCTAGCCAACCCAACCCTAATGGAGGAGCTGATAGCCAAGTTGCCGCTAAGCAAGAGGTTGGACTGGGCAAGGCACGCGGCCACGATACAGCCGTATCCGACGGTGGCGCACCTGAGCGAGTGGCTCCATGAATTCGCCAAACTGGTGTGCACTGTCACGGACGCCGGAGCCAGGGAACAACCGAAGCGAAGGATTCTGCACGCGAATAGTGTTCGCGAGGAGGAGCGATATGTCGACCGCCCCAGATGCTGCCCTATATGCGAGGGACAGCACCAGGTCAGGGACTGCAAGGACTTCATCAGCGCCTCTACAACGACACGGATCGAGTCCGCGATGAAGCGGCGACTGTGCTTCTCGTGCCTGGAGCCCGGACACATGTCCCGGTTCTGCAGGAAGAGCCGCGGATGCAACGTCCTCGGATGCCAGATGAGGCATCACCACCTGCTCCACGAAGTACCTGAACGATCCAAACGGCCGCCAGTCGCAGATGGGGGCCACAGGAGGGATCAGGACCGACAGCCGTACAGAGACGGCAACAATCGGAGAGGAGTGCCACGGTCAGTGGATTCCAGCGATAGGAACCATCCTACGTCGGCCGCAGTTGTAGACGCGCGACGTGAGCGGGATGAAGGGCGATCGGCGTACGATCGCCAGGAGTTGCCGCACCGAAACCTCAACATCGACTCAACCTCAACATCGGATGCACCCTGCTGTTCAGGATTCTACCCGTGACGCTGTACGGCGAGAATGCGAAGGTCGACACGTACGCACTGCTGGACGAAGGATCGTCTGTCACACTCATCGATGACGAACTCATCCGCAGCCTGAACCTGAAAGGCGAGAGTCGACAGCTGAATGTGCAATGGTTTGGTGGAAAATCCGCCAAAGAGCACACGAAGGTGGTCAGCCTGCAGATCAGCGCAGCGGGCAAACCAAAGCGCCATGGGCTGAAAAATGTGTTCGGAGTGGCCAATCTGAACCTTCCGATGCAGAGCCTGCGTCAGGAGGATGTACAAGCAGTGAAGGCGAACACGCGTCTGCCGGTGATGCCGTACAACAACGCGACGCCGAGGATCCTAATTGGACTGGATCATGCGCATTTAGGAGTACCCTTCAGAACCAAAAGTTATGGATCTGGAGGGCCGTTTGCAGCAGACACCGCACTTGGATGGGTGGTATATGGACCGGTGAACGGAAAGCCGAGCTCGCCGCTTCTGAGTTCGTGCCTCCTAGCCGTGCCCCAGGATGATCTTCTGGAGAAGATGGTCAGCGACTACTTCGAGACTGAGAATTTCGGAGCGAAGCCGGTGCAGCCAGTCGCAGCTGGCAGAGTGGACCTGGAGCCGTCAGTCGGAGATAGCGGCGACGCACGGGCCTTGAGCACCCTGGAGAAGACGACCAAACGTGTAGGCCAGAGATACGGGACCGGGCTGCTATGGAAGGACGACGAAGTGAGATTGCCGGAGAGCTACAGCATGGCCCTCAGGAGGCTCGTCAACATAGAGCGTAAAATGAAGCGCGATGTGGATTTCGCGTCGGCTTACATCCGGATAATGGACGATTATGTCAAGAAAGGATACGCACGACGACTGGAGGCCCAGGAAGTCCAGAGGTTTCAGGAGGGCAAAGTGTGGTACCTGCCGCACTTCGGAGTAGAAAACCCGAACAAGCCTGGGAAAATCCGGCTGGTTTTCGATGCGGCTGCCAAGGTGGACGGTGTGTCCTTGAATTCAGCGCTACTGAAAGGCCCACAGCGCTACAAGCCCCTGCCAGCAGTGCTCTTCCGTTTTCGGGAAGGAGCGGTTGGAGTTTGTGTAGACATCAAGGAGATGTTTCATCAGGTACTGATGCAGCCGAAGGACAGATGCGCCCAGAGGTTTCTGTGGAGAGACGGAGACGACCAGCGAGAGCCGGACGTATACGAGATGGCAGTGATGACGTTCGAAGCGGCCTGCTCACCATGTTCGGCGGACTACGTGAAGACCGTGAATGCTTTGCGGTATAGCAGCACGGACCCGCGAGCAGCCCTGGCCATCAACGAATACCACTACGTGGATGACTACGTCGACAGTTTCGCCAGCGAGGACGAAGCTATCGCCATCTCGACACGGGTGAGAGAAATTCACGCTGAAGCAGGTTTTGATTTGTGCCGATTCACCTCCAGTTCGGCAAGTGTGGTCAAAGCGCTGAACCCACTTGAGCCCATCGCCAGCGTCGGATGGACCGAAGCTGAGGAGAAGGTGCTTGGGATGTACTGGCAGCCGGCTACCGATGAGTTCAAGTTCGGCGTCAAGTACCATCGAGTCCCGAGGAACGTGATGACGGGGGAACGAGTCCCTACCAAGAGGGAGTTCCTAAGCCTGGTGATGTCTACGTTTGATTGGGTTCCTGAGCTGCTGCATGGTGACTGCCAAACTGCTGCTGAGGGAGATTTGGCGGAGAGGAGTCAACTGGGACGAGCCGCTACCGGATGAATTGATGCCCGCGCCACTACTTTGGCGGCGGACAAGTGCGGACGCTACAGTTGCACATCTTCGTGGACTCCAGTCAATCGGCGTTTGCAGCAGCGGCCTACTGGCGGGCCACGTACGAGAACGGAGACGTGCAGGCGCACTTCATAAGCTCCAAAACGAAATGCGCCCCGATGAGAACCATGTCGATCCCGCGTCTGGAACTCCAAGCAGCGGTATTGGGCACGAGATTGATGGACACCGTCAAGCAGGAGCACGGTGTGGCGATCAGCAGCTGTGCGCTATGGACGGACTCCAAGACTGTGTTGCACTGGATAAGCAACACCCACCGGAGATACAAACAGTTCGTCGGAAACCGGGTGGCGGAAATTTTGGAATCGACAGAGGCGTCCCAGTGGAGATGGATCCCGTCCGCCGAAAACGTGGCGGATGATGCGACAAGGCCGCGCAAGGCCGTGGACCTGAGCATCGGTTCGCGATGGCTAAACGGACCGCCGTTTTTACGAGGACCAGAGGAGAGCTGGCCGAGATCGAGCGAGGACTGGATTCCTCCGACGACCGACGACGAGGAAATGAAATGTGAGTTTGCCTTGGTCACGGTAAACTTTATATCCCTGCAGAGGTTCTCCAGCTATAATCGACTGGTGAGGACGACTGCGTGGGCGCTCAGATTTGTTCGACGATGCCGTGGAATACGTCGCGATGAAGAGGTCTACGGATTGACCGCGATGGAGTGCGCTGAAGCAGAACGCGCATTGATACGGCAGTCGCAGCGAGAAACGTTTGCTGAGGACAGCCAAGGAAACGTCGCCAAGGACAGCCGACTGCACGGACTGTCCCCATACCTTGACGAGGACGGAGTATTGAGAGCCAGTGGATGGATCGACGACGCGACGTGTGTGCCATACAACGCACGTCGGCCGATCATACTGTCTCACGAGGAGGCGCTGGCAGAGATGATCGTGCAGCAACACCACGAAAAGATGTGCCACCAAAACACGGAGGCGACGATCGGATCGATCCGGAGCAAGTTCTGGATAACGAACTTGCGGAGACTGCTAGGGAGGGTGGTGAGCAAATGCAACGTTTGCAAGCTGCGGAAGGCACGACCCACACAGCCCGAGATGGGCCCCCTGCCTGCGGATCGGCTAGAGGCCAACGGATGGCCATTTAAGTCTGCTGGCCTGGACTACTTTGTGACAATTGGACGTCGCACAGAGAAGAGGTGGGTGGCACTGTTTACGTGCCTGACCACGAGGGCTATCCACTTGGAGATGGCTCACGATTTGTCCACCGACTCCTGCATAATCGCCATGAGGAACTTCATGAGCCGCCGTGGACCAGTGGTCAGGATAAGGAGCGACAATGGGAAGAACTTCGTTGGAGCCGACCGCGAGGACAAGAGGTTCAGCGAAGTATTCGAGCCTGCACAGATCCAAGGCGAGCTGTCGTCTAAGGGAGTCGAATGGATCTTCAACTGCCCGGCGAACCCAGCTGAAGGCGGTGCCTGGGAGAGGATGGTGCAGTCCGTGAAGAAGGTGCTAGCGCACACAATGAAGGAGCTCGCGCCCAAGGAGCATGTACTGCAGAACCTGCTGATTGAGGCGGAGAGCATCGTAAACTCGTAAACTCATCGATATCCCAGATCTCCCCAAGGAGGATGGACAGGAGCCCGTGAGATCCGCTACTAGGAAGCAGTGGCGCATAGCAAGGATGATGCGCGATCGCTTCTGGAAGCGTTGGGTGCATGAGTACCTGCCAACTCTTGTGCGCAGGGAGAAATGGTGCAAGCGCGTCGAGCCCATCCGTCGAGGAGACCAGGTATTCATCTGCGATCCAGCCATACCACGAAGGGAATGGAAACGAGGCGTCGTGGAGGAGGTGTTCACCGGGAAGGATGGAGTACCTCGTCGAGCAGCGGTGCGGACTACCGATCGAGCTCAGACGACTATGCGTCCCGCTTCGAAGCTAGCTGTCCTGGACGTGGTGAATGCGGCTGCTTCACGGGGGTGGGGATGTCGCGGAACGGATTAGGCTATCGATAGTCAGGATTTATGAAGTCAGTATTATTTTGAAGTATTTAGTTAGGTTATTTGGTCGCACTAAAATCGGGTAAGAAGGAACACAATATTTGGCGGATAAACACATCGATTTGCGCCATCACAGAAAGGGGAAGAGAAACTGCGAATAAAACGCTCGTTACACATCACTTCAACAACTGTCCTATTTGCGAGTGTTATAAAGCATTCCCGTGATCGGCCAAGCGGTGACAATATGTTTATGTATATTTTATGTATAAATAAGTCTGGGCGTATAATGTGGATGGCGTTCAGGGGAAAGGTGCCCTAAGAAAAGAAGAAAATTTTTTTGGCGTTATAATCGGTGAGTATTTTAAAAGATAATTGTTTAATAATCATTATACACTTTAATCTATTAAAACTGGTTTAAACTGGTCTATTAAACTGGCCCAGCTGAGGAACAAATGAGAAAAACCCTGCAGCTTCAAAAAAAGAGATTTTAAAAACTCAAGCAGCCTAAAAGTAATAGAAGAACAGACCCCATTATAAAAAAAAAAAAATTTAAACAAAATAAAAACTGTAATTGCAATTGTACATGTTTTTTAATTTTTAATGGCAGGCCCCTCCATGGGGTCCAATGTAAGTACTTACTTCACCAACCTCTTCATGGGGTCCGATGTAAGAGCTTATTTTACCGGCCGTTCCATGGGGTCCCATGTAAGCACTTATTTGACCGGTCGTTCCATGGGGTCTAATGTAAGTAGTTTCTTTAAAGACCCTAATATGTTGCACTATTTTACAAGTTCGTGGGTAATCGAGGCGGTGGCGATTGACCCTATTTGCGGACATTTCATACAAAAATGGAAATTAAAAAACGCATGGCTAGACGCCACTTTGTAAGTAGTGGTGGTCTGCTGGTAAGTGCTTATTTCACCAGCTACGAACTAGTGCTCAGAACTGCAGGGTTTATTCTTCTATCTAACTCCACTGGCGAAATTATCGGATCACAAGTATCTGTGTCTCGAAGAAATACGTCTGGACTACAAGTTTGGAGGCACTGCAGCGTGCTTTCTGACCTACTGGCTTCTTGGTTTTCGGAAAATTTATAAGTGTTTTTTAATTCAGCCAAACTGCATGATTCCGACGCTTCTGACTTAAGATAGAAGAGCACCTCTTCCACATTTGCGTCAAGCGGTAGCAAAATTTTTTACTCGCTTAGTTAACAATACCGCTGTAAAATTTACTTCTGAGATGGAATCTTTAATAAAATGAAAGACAGCATTCTCCTTTGCGACTTTTCCCTTTGCTTCGAAACACTTCGCAAAAAAATCTGTGTTTGCCAAATTAAGGTTATGTTCTAAAAATTACAAATTCTCGCAAAATGGGAAAAAGTGGTATTTAATATTACATTCATTCGAACAAGAATTTAATACTCTACAACATACAATAGGTTTCGTGGATGGACTCTTCTAGACTCACTTTAAATCCCTTATGGAACATGAGACTTCATCCAAAATATGCAGTGACAAGGCTACTTACATTATTCTACAAATGACGATCACAAACATATAATACAAACCACACAGATTGGTATTCATTTCAAAAAACGTTTTTATATTGTTTAGATTTTTAATTCTACCCTCTCAAACTTTGTTAACAAAACTTAATATTTCAGTCGCCTGTGCTTTGCAATTGTAAAAGCTGTGTTTGTCAGCTGATTCCTTTGTTGTGGCGCCCTCTATCAAAATTTCTGTTATGCACCACTTAAGATTGGTGAATTTGGAATGCGTTACACTGAAACTTATTTTAATTTTCCGACTTTCAGAAAATGGGTTTTTGTCACAAAAACTGGTCAAATTCCCCATAGTGCGCCGTCATCGCCGCCAATATCACGGACCTGCAGCCTGGCTTCATTTCGGATCTTTCCAGTTTAAATATTCCAGGCAATCTTTCTTTGGCTGATTCTGAATTTTTCCGTCCACAGCGCATCTATCTTCTTATCGGAGCCAGTCTTTTTCATGAGGTGCATGATGTGTTGGGCAAATTAAGTTTCAGCCAGCCTGCCGTTGCTGCAGAAAACCCGACTTGGATGGGTCGTGTGTAGGGCGGTTCACTTGTCCAGAGAAGATCACTTGATTCCACTGCACACAAGGATGTTCTGAAGAACGCAACTATGCTGGATGTTTAGTTAGATTCTCGGCTCTGCCGGTTTTGGGAACTCGAAGACTGCGCCGAGCCTATTGTAAAGCGGACAAAGGAGGAGTAGGATTGCGATGCGCATTTCGTTGCAACATGTTGCTCTGCTGGATTCCGGCGTTTACGCTGTAAGGCTTCCGTTGAAATGCAGTTTTATGTTGCTGGGAGAATCTTACTCCCAAGCCGTTCCACGATTTCTCCTCCTTGAAAGGAAGTTTTGTCGCCGTTCTTAATTGAAAGATTAGAACGCAGTCCCTGCTGATGCGAGCATCACTGACTAGTACTTTCTGCCACACCATTATGTTTTAAAGGAGGACAGTTCAACAACCAAGCTCAGGGTTTTTTTTGATGGATCTGCTGTCACCACTTCTGGATATTCATTGAATGACGTGTTGATGTCTGGCCCAGTTATTCAGCCAAAGTTGCTGCATTTTCTGTTAAGGCTCTGATGCCATCGGGTGGCCATTACTGGAGATATTTGTAGAATGTATCGTTGCGTCAGGGTTTTTCCTGAGGACAGCTATCTTCACTGCATTCTTTGGCGGGATTCCACTCAGTATGAGCTGCAGGTTTTTAAGATGGATGCTGTCACCTATAGAGCGAAGCCTGCGGAAGTGGTGCTCCAATGTTGCTGACGTGCTGGATAAGGTGCCTGAAGCAATTTCACAAAGACCCTGGATCTTGTTGGGGCACGACCATTGGGAACTGACCATTTGTGTTTGAAGGCATTCAGTCAACCTCAAAGCCCACTAGGCGCATCGTTCTTTTTTCAGTCGCTCGTCTTTATAAATTATAAGGCCTTGTCGCTTATGTAGTTGCAAAAGCTCTTCACTGCGACTGGAATATGATATTCCCATCCCCAGATGGGCGCTAACATCAAAATCCGACGTGGAGATCCATGGATTCAGTAACGCCAGCAATTAACCGTATGGGGCTTTCGTTTATGTCGTGTCCAAGGGCGCAGGATCTGCAAGCTAGTTACTCTGCTCGAAGTCCCGAGATGCGCCTTTAAAGGTGCCTACGGCACCAAAGCTAAAATTATCGGCAGCCGAGTTGTTGGCTCGACTTATGTCGGAAGTAGCACAGTTGAAGGTCTACGTTGGAAAATATTTTTGCTGGTCGATTCTGCCGTGGCTCTGTCTTGAATTCGAGAAGAACCCTCTCGGTGTAATATTTTCGTCGCCAATCGAATTTTAACCACTCAGAAACTAACTAGAGAAATAGCGGTATGTTCACACTTTTTTGAACCCAGCAGATATCCTATCACGTGGTGCTCTTCTCAATAAATTGATTGGAAATAACCTGAGTCTCACGGTCCTCCGTTTCTCCTTGGAGCCCAAGAGGAGTGGCCCACCGCGGTCCCATCTGAGAGATTGACCCTGGAGTTACGTGCAAGGTTCCTGCTCATTCAGTCTCCATACGTGGATATAAGTACGCTAATTCGTTTCCAGCACTGTAGAGGGTATTCGCTTACGTTTACAAGTTTTCTCAACGAATTCGCCTCAACGGTGTCATGGCTAGCGATATCAAATCTAAAACACAGTTTCTATTGCGACTTGTGCAGCGTGTGCATTTTTGGGAGGACATAAAGGCGCTTCAAAATGGAAAGGAGATAGCGGTATCCAGTGCACTTGCCTCATCCTCTCCCTTCTAAGATAACTGTGGTCCGTTGCGCGTAGACGGTCGAATAAAAAAGTCATTGGATTTTGATAGTCAACATCCAATTATACTTCCTAAAAGCCAACAAGTTACCTCGCGCGCTGCTGTCAATCATTCGGTCCCAATATTGGCCAATTGGGGGCAGAAAATCGGTGACAAAGGCAATACGCAAATGCATCCGATGCTTCCGGGCTATGCCTCAGTTGCTGGAGCACTTTATGGCTGATCTCGCGGAGCGAAGAGTTAGCGGCTTCCGTGTCTTTGGAGTCACGGGGGTGGATTTTTGTGGGCCTTTTTATTATAAGCCGGAAGTGCATAATAAGGCTCCAGTAGAATGTTACGTCTGCGTTTTCATTTGTATTGCTATCAAAGCCGTTCATCTGGAGCTTGTAAGGGATCTGTCCACAATGTCTTTTTTGCAGGCTTTGAAGCGTTTTGTATGCACCCGCCGAAGGCCTCAACATATTTGGTCTGACAATGCAACCAACTTTGTGGGAGCCAAAAACGAGCTATAAAGCTGCTCTGATTACTTCTAATCGATGAGCATCAAAGGGCACTGCTGCAATTTTTCTCTATGGAGTCAATCGAATGGCATTTTATTCCTCCTCGATCTCCGCATTCGGTGGTCTGTGGGAAGCGGCTTTTAAAACCACCAAGCACCATTTTACCGAGCTGTTAGATCTGCAGTTCTTTGATTCGAGGAGCTGCGAACGCTGCTGTGCCATATTGGGGCTGTCATAAATTCACGACCTTTA